TACCTTCTATTTTTCGTAAAATTCGTTTTTTTTTGGCTGCGTGGCTTGAAAAATTCTTTCAAATCGACCATCCGTAGTGTATTAACATATGTACTTTACTTACAAAAAAGGACTTTTCATTCTACACAGCCAAAAAAAGTTAAGTGTATTTGAAAAAAATAGGTAAAACAGACCACTTTAGGATCCCCTTAACAGTATAAATCATTTTCACCGTCTCAAATTTCACATTATATACCTTAGCGCGATTTTTAACAGTAAACCATGCTTTAATTATGTGTTATAGCAGCTTCATTCGGAATATAGGAGCACGTACACATGGCACGAGTACACAGGACCGCATCAGGAGCATACGGTTGTGCGACGTGCGCCTCAGCCGCCACCGTCGAGTAAGTATGACATTTATAATTACTACAAAACATTATTCACACTTTCGTTGTACTTACTTTTAGCGAACGTTAATCCTAAACAGTGGAAAATAATTTGTTCGCCGACAGAAAGCGCAACAAGATTTACATACTAATTACATACTACAATGTGATATTGCAAATGCGATATAAGCAGCGTTCTTGTATGAGATTTTTTTTTAATTTCTTACAGGAATTTGAAATATAACGTTACACAGAAAAAAATACATTGATAGTTTGATAAATACATTGTGATATATTTTAGAATTTCGAAGAAAAATTGAAATATCTACTTGTACTGTTTAGGCTTAATGCGATTAGCAAATTATCGCATCGTTCGAGCGTGAATCGGCCGATTTATCGCTAATTTAACAATTCTATTCTACAGACGTACATGATTATTTTTTATTTTAATAAGAATGTAAAATGGATATCTATTCTGAAAAAAAGATTTAGATATTGCCAGTGCACGCTCCCGAGAATACATTCTACTCGTTAAACTAGTTTTTTCTCCTTATATTAGTCTCGTAAGGGTGTTTTTAGTGATCTCGTTTACTCATGTTATTACTCATACCGTGGACGCACTCATTCTCCATCTCACACTCACTCACTCACTCACTCACACACGCACACACACACACACACACACACACACACTTTATTCTCGTGATTTTACTACGATACTATGATGTCGTCTTATTTTTTTATATAACATATATATATATTT